ATATTACTATTAAATTAAAAACAAATTCTTACTCTAACACTCCCAGCTCCTAAAAAATAAGGTCTTGATGCTGATACAACACGTGCTTTTTTATGTAGGAATAATGGCATACCACTATTGTGCGTTACTTGTACCCATCCTTCCGGTAGTACTTCAAAATGATTATGTCCCTTTTCTATAAAAGTAAATTGTTATACATTTTTAATTATTATTGAAATACATTTGCATGAATATTAGTATATTTATATATGTGTTACCTTCTAATACTGTTTTAAAACGTTCCTCATATTTCGGCCTTTTAGATTCCTTGAGGTCGTCAGGTAAGTTTTCATTTAATAGATTTTCAATTTCATCATCATCTAGATCTAAATCAGATGAATCATACTCCTCGGCCAGTTGGTCTTTATTATTACCATTGGTTTCGTTCTCTAAATAAGTCATTTAAAACATATTTAAAGTATATATATTTGTTGATTTTAGTAATACAATTTATTAAATAAATAAATTCTAATTGTTTAATTTTAATGCTCTAGTACTAATGCTCTTTTATTTGTCAAATTTTTATTTGAATATTCAATTTATAGACTCAAATAGAAAGGCGTTCTTACCTGTGTTGTGCGTTAAGGTTTTGTGAACGTCTAAGCGAATTATTGGAATCATACGCATTTTACAAGTTGTAACTTATATAATAAATTATTCTAATCTGTCATGAAAACTCTTAAGAATAAAGTGACTGTAGCGAAAAGTTTAGCGCATTGCTGCTTAGACAGTCGTTGCAATACTGAATAAAAAATCTGTTTTTCATACCATAAATCTTAAGCTCATAAAAATTATACCCGTATATTTACATTACTATGTTTCTCAAGTTAAAAACAGGTGGTGCTACTATATAAGTTCTCAGTAATATTTATCTTCTTATTCATCACTTCCAAGATTTTATCAATTGTTTATTTATTGATAAAGCAAGATTTACATCGATAAAAAAACCTAAGCATGCAACGCTTATAATGGCTAATGCTTTTCCTCTGCTTAATTTACATTTATATTATCTGATTATTACCTGATTCACTCCCTGAGCACTGCACTTCATCCAACACTTGAAATTGACGTAAAGTTTCGCTGTTGATGTTTGCTTCTTGAGCACGGACTTTCATTTCTTCCATTGCGCTTAGCGAAAAGCCATCCAAACGTGGCTTTTTGTTTGGTTGTGCTTCCGCCTCGGATGGCATTTTCTGATAGTTCGAACCACTAAGAACTTTAGATTTAATTAACAAGTTAAAATAATTAAACTAAATTCATTAAAAACAAAAGACTATTTATCTTCGCCCTACTACATAAACGACGCTTTGGGTTCAAAAAAACATCCAATACATGGAATCCAACAGTTTAATCGATTTTTCAATAAATTGGATTGTTCATATATTTGGTTATTTTAGGAAACCCACAAATAATGAGCACTCCTACGTATGAAACAAATCAAGACAATTTCTTTAAAATATCTTATCAAAACAAAATCCTTAAATATTTGTGATTTATAGATGTTAATAGCTTTGATAATTTTTTGCCAAAAGAAGCAAATTTCGCAATGGTTTAATTCTGTCGTCTCTTTAATAAAATCAAAATGACAAGAAAATCCACCACAAAATTACTTCTTTTAATTTATAAAAAATGAAAATTTATACAAATTATTTTCCTGGACCTGCTGTACTCAGCTCTAGTTTTTAGTAGCTCACTTAAACTTGTAAACAGCTGGCAGCAGGGTTGCGTGCTGTTCTTAAGCAAGTATTCCCGCGTCAACATTGTAAATAAGTACTAAATATAATCTAGTTAAGTGACGCAAAATGTATGTAGTATTCAAAGTGAACACTTAAAATTTTCGAATATGATTCGAAGATATTTGTGAAATTAAATTGAAGTGTTTACATTATGGCTAGGGTATTAGTAAATAGCTTTAAGAGAAAATCAAAAAAGTAAATAATATAAAATTTATAAAGCTATAAATTTCATTTAATGTGTATAAATTAATATATTTGCTGTATACATAAAGCACATATTCTTTTAAATATTGCAATTCTATCTGTTTTTGTGTTATTCATTTCTGTATTAAGTCTTGAAATATGACTACTTGAACTATTTATTTTATGTGGTGTCCAACGGTTTTAAAATATAAACCTAACTATTTTTCCATGTGAAAATCAATGCTGTTGATATTACGATTCAATCCTAATATTAGATGTTAACATTTTTATAGAAATTTTGAACTTGATGTGCAATGGAAAACAAGAATAAACTAAAATACAGCAGATGTTGCAAACAAAACTCTCGAAGAATACTGTATACTGTACAGCGAAATTTTTTAATATGCGGCGCCATTGACCTATACGATTTACTCAATAATGTGTAATGTTAAAATTTTTTTAATTTTTTTATGATACACAAATTGATCCAAAAATTCACAATCAGTGTCACTCTTAACGAATTTTGTTAGGCAAGTTTATATAAGGTGAATTCGAAAATAAACAATATGTTTTAAAAGTAGATCTTTCTACTGAAAGATCTAACGCTTGCCAATCACATGCAAAAAATTCTTGATTCTCAAAAAATATTGGTTTTATGTAAGTTATTTATTTTTAATTATAATGATCTAATAAAGTTGTCATAGTTTCGAAGAAGACCGGTAGAGTAAATACACTAATGGAAAAGATTCCTTGATCCAAAAAAATGACAAATATCACATGGAAGAATGTTTTTCAATATTTACTGAGATGTATCTAGGCAAAAAAAACTTCCAAATTGATTTTTTTAGAAATTCTTTAAACATTATTGCTCGAAATTACATTTTTTTTACATTTCTCAGTAATTGAGAGTGTATTATGTCATTTTACAATGACGGAAACTGGCATAAAATCTCCATATCCTTTTTGTGTAAATTAAAATATCAAAGATATATAAAGCGATATGAAACAGTTTTGCTACACTTTTAATAAAGAATACTTTAGAGCAAGGCTGTCCAAAGCACGGCACGCGTTCCGCATGCGGTTTTCGACCAATGTTTATGGGGCCCGCGACATGTTTTCAATCTACTACAATTATGTAAATTTGCTTTTGGTGTACTGGTTAAACTACATTATTTTATTTTTATGCTATATCAATTAAAAAATTTAAATTGATAAATTATTAAAACTAAATTTAACCGCATTTTTCCTTTTTTTTCAAAAATTATGAACGTATGTATTTATTTCTGCCGGCGTCCAATCTATGCTCGCGATCGCATCTGGTTTGGACAGCCATGCTTTAGAGCAATTAATCGTTAAAAAATTTTAATTGATACATTTGTAATCAAATTAATTTGATTATGATTATTAAAATAGTACAACACATGTTTTCATAATATGGAAAAGATTGAATATCGTTCAGTAATAAAATTCCCCAAATTCAAAAAGAATGAACAATGAACAATCAAATTAGAAATATATTCTGTTTACGGCAACCTTGCACTATCTTCCTTTCAAATGGAGGAATTAATTATTAAACAATATTCATTTTTTCCATTTTAAGAAAAATCACCGAAATGCACTATTTCAACTTCTTTCAAAAGACTGGCCAAACATCTGATGAAGTGGGAACTTTAACAACTGGCCTTTAAAACTTGTCAGATATATAAAATATAATTGATTTTGACCTTGCGTTCCTCCCTGTTCTGAAGTCAGGTACTTATCTATCCATCTAATATACATTTGGTACCTTTCGTAAACTTTTTTTATAAAAGATGCAGTATTGTTGATATTCTTTGATTATTTGTTTATTAACCAAAGAGTAATCGTAAAAATAAAACAAAAATTTATTCTCTCATCCAGTAAGAAATATCAAAACAGAACATAAAAAATGTTAAATAGTAATAATATATAAATTTTATCGAACGATAAATTATATTGTATTGCATTGTATTTACAATTATTTATATGAATATATAAATAATATATTAATTATTTATATTTGTCAATTGTTTACGTATTATAACAAATCAAGAATGCGTTTAAATGAAAATGTTAAGATTGTTGGAAATAAGGTGGTGTTAGTACCATACGAAACAAAACACGTTCCCAAATATCATGAATGGATGCAATCCTCTGAATTACAAAAGCTAACAGCATCGGAACCTCTAACACTCGAAGAGGAATATGAAATGCAGCAAAGTTGGCGTGAAGATGAAGATAAGTGTACTTTTCTTATACTTGGAAAAGAACAATACAAAGAGACCGGCGAAGAGATAGCATCTCTAATAGGTGATACAAATCTATTCTTGCGCATTGATGATGAAGCAACTGTGTCGGACTACACAATAGCTGAAGCTGAAATAATGATAGCGGAGAGCAGCTCAAGAGGAAAAGGTTACGGTTGGGAAGCTATGTTATTGATGCTGAAATATGCTCAAACCAATTTAAATGTCCAAAAATTCGAAGTTAAAGTTAATATAGCCAATACACAATCCCTAAACATGTTTACGAAAATGCATTTTAACGAAGTTTGCCGATCAGCTGTCTTCGAGGAAGTGACGTTGGAATGTAATATTACAAAGGAATGGATAAAGTGGTTAGATAATCAAGTAAACCCACAGTATACAGTATATCGGTAAACAAAAACAACTATTTAAATTGTAAAACTTTTATTTTTATGTATATATTTAATAAATCTGCACTGCTCTTATTTAAATATATGTAAATATATATTTTAACTTTTTCATTATTATATATATATGCATGTGTATATAATAAAATAAACAGATCTTCATACTTATTTTTACATGGTATTAAAAATAATAATTTCAAAAATTGTACCAAAAGTTTGAACATAAAACAAATTAACAAAATAGTTTCATTTCTTATGGAAGAAAAATTTATAGCTAAAAATTTGCAACAAATATATAAATTGTAATTTTGTCATATCAAAAATTTTAACATAATTGAGTTATTTTTTTAATATGTCTTAAAAGTAAAGTTTAGACTTAACTCACATTTGTTCCTGAAAAGCTTTTTCTTTAAAATATTATTTGATAATTAAAGGCAAACACAATAAAAATAACGATAAGAAACATAAGTCTAATTTTTCTTAAAATTAAATGAACGTTAGTGATTTCATAATTTTATGTAAGAAATTAAACACGGGGTCCATCAAGTGGCATAGCATGATGCAATACCTCGTCTAATAGTTGCAAAGCACGATGTAAGTGTACTTCGATCCAGCATGGTGTCTCCTTGATAGATTGTCGCGGATAATCAGGTCCCCAACCTTTAACAAAACTTAAACGCAGAATACACAAACGTCGTAAATCGTCTACACCAATACCGGCGGCTGCAGTTATATCTACAAAAGAAATTAGTTAGTAAGAACGTTACCATAATATGGCATAAGTACAAATTCTTTTCATATATATAAATAATATTAATTTTAATTAAATTGAGTTAATCTTTGTATACTTTATACTTACTTCTTGATGGTCCACCTAATTGTGAGCTAGGTAGTCCTGCAACAGCAGCTGCTTGTGCTGCAGCGGCTGCTTGCGCATTTGTTGCTAATGAATGCATTTGTTGATGGCACTGACGTAAATCAAAAACCTATAAAATATTTCTATGTATAATATTTTATATTAACTTTTGAATATATCATTTATACTTTAATACAAGCGGCTGGATAAATTTTGTGTACAGCATCTCCTGGTGTACGACCAGCTTCACGATCTAAATAGTAACTTTGTACAAATACAGAATTATCGCTTAGGCAACGAAGCCAAACATCACCCTCCCCACGTAGATCTAATTGTACTCCTTTCCCAATATGAAGTCTAAAAAAAAAGAAAAAAGAGCATATATTATTATGTGTTATACGCAATTTATGTAAGAAAAAGCAAATAACTAAAACTAACCTTGCTCTTTCGGATTGTTCTGTGCGATGTACATTGCTTAATGCACCTAAACAGAAACGGTTACCACCGGATGGATCCACATAGCCATCAATAATAACATTTGGTTTAGCTGAGGGTACTTTGAAGGTCTCACCTACTTGAGTGTCTAGCTCAAAGTAGGCAATTGAACACCAATATTCAGGAGCAGGTTGGCGAGAGAGTAAACGCGTTTGCGTCTGTTGAGTTGTAATTTCACCAGGCATAGGCGCATTCCCTGTTCAAAAAGTATATACAAAAATTAAAATGAAGCAATTTTTTATTATATTATTGCAGAACTCACAATAACCTGCTTGATGTGCACGCAAATCTGGCGGTTGCATTGATTGAGTATATGCTAATGTACTGGAGCCAGTCCAAGTGCCAGCTGGCGGCGCATTTACCGGATTAGGTACTACGCTCATATTGCTGCCGGTCTGAGAAACATGCTGAACTGCTGTTACTTGACTGTAATTATGTGGTCCTGATGGGCCCTGATTTGTTACATAACCGTTTTGCATATGTGATGCAACTGATTGTTGGGACCCACTAGGACCGCTATTTAAAGCTGCATTGTATTTAGCTTCGGCAATACTGGCCATTTGTGATGTACTTGGACCGTAGTAAGCATTTGTCTGAGCAGCATTTCCACTTGTACCTGGAGGTATATTAGCTGCATTCGCTGACTGTTGCATTGAAAGCGATGTGGTATCCGTAGAGGGATTCGTTTGACTATGATGAGTTGCAGAACTCATACTTGGCCCAACAGGTCCATTAGATTGTGAATTTTGTGTTTGATTTGGTGGAGCCATTACAGTACCTGAATTCATGGTACCAGCCATGGATATACCGTGTGGGACAGCTAAATATAAAAAAATAAAAAATATATAATCAAATAATTGGATATAAACATTCATATATATATGACAATAACCAACAAAAAAAAAATAATATAGTTCTAACTTATAAAAAATTTAAAATCAAATCTTACAAAGCGGATGTTGTGTCGTTTGTGTTGTATGCTGTTGAGGCGGTTGGCTCAACCGTGGTGGCGGTGGTGCCATCCATGTGCTCCGCGGGACACCTTCAGTCGGTTCAATTTTTGGTAATGTACGACCCGCGGAGAACATTGCACTTATATGACTTGGATCAGAAACTGAACAAAAGTCGTAAATAAAAAGCCAACAAAATAAATAAAGTTAATAAAAAAATCAAATGAACATTATAACATAATTGCAAATTAAATTCTTAATAGAGAAAATAAAAAAGAATACGTTTTAATTTATTACCTGGACCCTGTGGATATACATATCCTGGACCCACTAGTTGTGATGGATGATGTTGAATAGTGCCGATATCATTACCGTCAATATCCATACTCCCAACTAACGGACCAGCAGAATATTCGTCTTTTATGATTCGACTCGGGCCTGACTGCAAACTTAGTCCCGATAAATCGATACCCGGTGATACAACACGTTCATAGTGATAGGGGTTAACACAAACCGAGTCACATTTGAGATCAAAAGCAAACGCACAATATTTGACATGTTTTAGTTCGTTCTTATGCAAATCCGGCCAACGCCAAATTCGTGCATAAATGACATGAGGAAAACCTTTACGTCCAGCAACCTAAAAATATAAATGCAATTAATAGAATTTGATATGACTTGAATAAGCAATCATAATGTATTAAACAAATATATTATTCAACATCGTAATAACTTTTATTCGCAACTTTGTAAACTAGACCTAGACCGAAGCAATATGATAATTATTGCACAGTGTAATAAAAGTGATAATCAACGCCGATATCAAATAATCAGTATGTTAAATTATTATGTCACACCATTGATAATATTATGAAAACTAAAAGTTTTGTTTATAAATATTTACCTGTAAACGACCGTCTAAGGTTCGCTGAATAGTTACACATTTGCTAGGATGTGCACCATTTGTCGTGATGGCTGTAATCAAAGAATCCAATTCGTCACGCTTTTCTTTGAGTTTTTTTACTAAAGACTCAATAGCTCGCTTTGCAAATCCTTCACTTTCACCACCTTGACGATGACACATAAGAGAATGTACAATGCTAAGGCAGGCATCAGCAGAGGTTGGTGCATTTGATGGCGGCGGGGGCATTTGAACCATATCACGAACAATGAGTGCTATAAAAAATAATTAATGGGTATTATAAATAAGCCATTTTAAATATATTTTATATATACCTTCTGCTGGTCCAACTGTGTTGTACATACTATGTTGCCCAGTTGCAACGCCGCCGCCAACCATTCCAGCATAATCCTGGGGTACACCCAGGGCACTACGTGCATCCACTTTGCCGGCGTTTATATTTTCGCCGACACAATAAGGAAAATTTTCTGATTTTGTCCACAGAGTGAAGCTAGTGTAACAAAAAAAAAAATTTAACTAACTTAAAAACAATGTTTTGCTATTCATTCACACGCAATATAAACAAAGTCAACAAATAACTTCACTTATATACAAGAGTTATTTATAACGATTTTATAATAAATTTAAAAATTTTATTAAGAGTTTTTATAAAAATAATCTAATATATGTAGTTTACTTTATTAGCGGAAATCGCTATGGGAGCGACACAAATTCTATTTTTTCATCCTTATTTTGTGCCGGAGGTGGGGAATCAAATTTTCCTTACCGTTTTGTTAATACTATAAAACCGTGCTTAAATTAAAACTTGATTGTTTTGGTACATAGAAGTCTATTTCACTCAAATATTATCGAATAAAGTGCGTTAATGCAATTTATGTTTTATGCAAACAATTTGTTGTAAACTCCTTGCAAACTTAACAAAGTGAACAAAAATACAATAATGGAATAAGAAAATAAACATGGCGCCAGTGTATGTTTCTGTTGGTTGACAGGTGCGTTCAACTTGTGCTGCTATTTGCATATGTTTAATAGGCCGTTCGCACCCTCAACTATGCCGGGCAGTACATATAGCTAAAAACATATATGTAACTCATATACTGTTTCATATGAAATATATCTCATTTTAAGTTTCAATTTTAGTTTCAAATAGCCTGTTCATACCGCATAAGTAATCTTAATTTTTATTTCATGTTCTAAGTTACAGATAATTATACATTATATCGCTACATAACGATTAATTGTGTTATTATAAATTAAGAACTTAATTCCAACTGGATTCCATATAATTTACAATTCAATGATGATATTGAATGTTTAATTTCCGCACTCAATCGGATTACACATTATACATTAATCGAAGTAAAATTGTATATAAAAATAATATTATTTATGTCATATGTAAATGCTATAATAACATAAAATGAAAAATATTGAAATTGGATCAAATTACATAAAGACACAAAAGAACATCCTTTGTAGTGTCTTCTTATGTACTTATAGTTATGTGCTTAAAAGAATACAATGGTCACCGTACTGCTTTTACACCCTTTAAAATGACAAACTATATCAACCTGAACATATATCTTAAATTCTTTCTCAGTGAAATAAAAAATAAATATGTATATATTTTAATCATTGTAATTTGTTTCTGTTGATTGAACTGAAAAACAAATAAAAAGGTAAAAATAAAATGGGTGTTTGGTTTTTCCACCTTAAGTAAACTACAATAATTAAGTAACCAAAATTCAGTAAACTTTGAAAAATTAAAAATAGCTTTTATATTATTTAATAATGAAAATTTTGAAAAAACGTGCAATAAATTTCGCGACCATAAAAAATGCTTAACTGAACATACACAGCGCAAAATGTAAACAAAAATATTGACATTTCTCATTGAACAAATGATGTGTCACAATAAAGATACAAGAGGAATTTCATAGGTCGCGCATAAAATTACTTGTTTATTTTGAATACTGTTTTTATTTAGTATGCAATAAATACTATTAATATCCAATAAATATGAAGTACGCAACGTCTCCTACACCGTCAGTTAGTGGCGTATCGTCCGCTTACAGTGGCCTTTTGCGTTCACAGTCTGGACTTCCACCTCCAGTTAATCATCGTAAGGATTGCCTGTCTGCCACAACTAAAAGTTATAAATATCTAAGACGACTGTTAAAGTTTAACCAAATGGATTTTGAATTTGCGCTATGGCAAATGATTTATTTATTTATATCACCGCAGAAAGTTTATAGAAATTTTAATTATAGAAAACGTAAGAAGTGTAACAAGAAATTGGACAAATAACCGATATAACATATTTATTTGTAACAGAAACCAAATCACAATTCGCTAGAGATGATCCCGCATTTCTGGTATTGCTTGTAGTATGTCTATGTGGTATGGTATTCATAGTGAAGAACTAATTTTGTACTAATATTGTATATGTTTTTAATTTATTTCAGTTACATCCCTGGCATTTGCCTGGATACTTGGGCTAGGATTTTGGAAGAGTATTTCTTTTGTTTTTTATGTGGTATTTGTCGATTGTATATTTGCGGGAATAGTTGTTGCTTCATTTTTTTGGATTGTTACAAATCGATATTTACGTACTAATAATCAGGAGCCGGACGTTGAGTGGGGTTACGCATTCGATGTTCATTTAAATGCCTTCTTTCCTCCACTAATGCTGTTGCATTTTATACAATTGTTTTTCTATAATTGGTTTATTAGTCAGCCGTGGTTTGTGTCTCGGATGCTTGGTAACACATTTTGGCTCTTTGCTTTAGGATATTACGTTTACATAACATTTTTGGGGTATAATTGTAAGTACGAAATAACTCAAAGAAATTTATAAAATTATTGTCTTGCCTTTCTTTACAGGTATACCACATTTAAAAAATACACGCTTGATTCTCATACCATTACCAATTATATTTATATTTTATTTAGTGACTTTAATCATAGGCTGGAATATTACAATATCATTCATAACGTTTTATAAGTATCGCATTGGAGCAGAAATGTTTTAAAAATAAGCACTGTAATATACATATGTAAATTAAAAAACAATTGCAATAACTAACATTAAAAATAATTTAATATGTAAAAAGCCTAAATACTCCAGTCATTTATTTTATTATAGAAATATTAGAGGTTAGTTTTAAAAAACATTTTTTTATTATCAACTATTGAAAGATATTTTATTTTCTTCTTCAAATAATTGCATATGTTCTTTCTAAGTCTCATTATTTGATCTTTACTCTTATCTAAATGTAATTGTATTTTTTTTTAATATTGCTTGTGCAATATTTTTATTTTATTTGTAAAAACCTGAAATACAATATAAAATAACAAGTAAACTAAAGAAAAGCGATAGCGTCCTTTAGCTTATTATATGTTTTTTATTTATATAGTTAATTTATTTATTATAGCTTTTTTATTTTATTTTAAATTTTCCTTTAGCTTATTATATGTTTTTTATTTATATTGTTAATTCATTTATTATAGCTTTTTTATTTTATTTTAAATGTTTAGAGATTTGAGGAAGCCTATTACTGTAGTAAATAAAGTTCGCAGAGTTGTTCAAACGTTTAATTATGTTTATGCAAGAATCAACACTGCATATACGTGAGTTAGAGAAAGTTTTTTTTCAACAAATTTCAATTTAATAAATATTTCGAAAGTACTTGTTTATAATTTATACAACAAACTAATATTATATTTCATATATGTAATATATTTTATGAAAACATATTTTTTATTTTTCTTAACAATTTCATAAAAAATACAAGTGTTTACGCCAATTGTGTTGGTTTAATAAACGATCGTTTACGTTTATTCTTTTTACGCTGTAGTTCCAACTGATGGAGTTGGGAATGTACATCTGCATATATTATCCTTTGTTCTTCCTCAGGTATAGTGGCGCGATACTGTTTCATCATATCGTATTTTTCCCAAGGTGTCTCGTGTTTCTTCTTTTGCATTCGCATTTTATCTGTTATAAATGAATCAGTATCAACAACACCTTGAAGATTTTGTCGCTCCCAACGTTCCAGCCAAGGACGTGGTCGCAAAACTACTTTTATTGGGTTAATAGGCACTTCAGCACCTTCTTCTAATTGTTCTGGTTCCATATTTACATCAAATGTACTATATTCAGGCAAAGCATCACGTAGATAAAATAATTTGTCATCAAGTCGCTTTTCTAAGCGTAGAACCTCAATTTTTTGAATTGTTGGATCATACATTTCGTAAAGCACTTCCACGCCTTGATGATCAATTACATTACGCAGTATAAAACGTGCTGACAATCCACAAAATTCTCTATGTATGCATATACCTTAAAATAGTTTATATAGAAATCTAACATCATTTTATACACTAAGAAATTTACCAACGAAACGAGTTATTTTGCCAACAGAATGTGGGTCAGAACTAGTCACAGCCAGTACGGAACCAACGTAAAATTCTGGTATATCAATTTGTGTGCGTCGATTTACCATATCCATACGTTCAAGCTTTTCGCGCACATGATTTCTCCATTCTATTTTTGGGTCTGGTAAAAACTCTGGATACACGAATCGGTATGTAGCCGGTACTAGCGGCTTCCTACTACCTCCACTGTTTTCATTACTTTGGTGCTGAACTCTTTGTTGTTGGTTAGTCTCACTCACTTGTGGTTTAGTTGAATATGGAACTAAAATGTATGAAATATAGAAATTTTTTGTTAGGTGATCAATATATATTCTTACCTATACGTTTTAAATCATTTTTAACTATATTTTGTATTATAAAACGACTAGAAACATTCATTTTCGTTATTTCAGTACCAAAAACAATAAAACTATTATTTAACACATGAGTGTGATTGCCCCATGTTTTTATTACACTCGGGTAAGTGAGTTTTGAACTATTTCTGTGTAATTTATTTATCCACTAAATGTTCATATTTTTATTTATTATTTATAGTTCATATTTTTAAATGTTCATATTTTTATTTATTGTTTATAGTACAATGTTACGAACGATATGGATCATTTTAGATCAATAGATAAATTTTAAATTCATTCATTGTTTCATTTTTGTTTTTCTTTTTGTTTAGAATATACTGTAGATCACAGTGCTTCTCTTTGAAGTAGCATTTACTGAGCCAATAGACTTAGTGACTTAAATACGGACAGTATAATTTTTCAATTTTCAAAGTTAGAATTCATATATAGTTTAAAGTTCATTTTTTTTAAATGCTTTAAACTAATTGTCAAAGCTGTTGAAACCTATTTTAACCTTTGGTTGACTATTTGACAGTACCTCGTTAACTTACTATCACAAGTTTTAAAAATCGTTCATTTTTTTGAGACACTCTTCACATGGATAGCTAATTAAATTGAACGATATTTAGAAAATTATTTTCAGTTTCGATGTATTGGCAACATTATCAATCTTAAATCAAAAATTACGTTGGACGGCTATCCTTGTTCCCCTTTTCTTTTTTTTTTAATATTGGAGAAATAACTGCATGAGTTGATTCGGTATTTAATTTGCGGTTTTAGTTTTTTTTTTAAATAATATTCAACTAGTGCACTTAAGAATGGTACTATGTTACGCTATATTTTTCTTATCTTCCTAATCTCTGTTAAATATAGCAATTAAATATATTCAATATTATGTTTGATGACATATTAATCTTTGTCTAAATAACATGTTGTTTTCATTATCGATGTGATATTTGCTTATACCGTAAACAAGTATACCAAAACAAAATAAATATAAAGATAACAAAACCGACAACTATTAAAATGAAAATGTCATGGGCTCGTCAAAATTGTCTCTCTTGTGCTTTGACAAAAATCCACGTTATGTAGAGTGTCATAGAAATTATAATAATATGCTTCTAAAAGACACAAATGTTAACATTTATTACTAAATAGGGATGCTCTTTTAAAGCATTTTTAGTGTAATTTTCATTTTCGATTGGTAAATCTATATAACACTCGAGGTTTATTTATAATACTTTAGATATTTTGCACAAAATTACAAGATTATTATGAAATTAATAGCTATTTTATATGATGACGATTAAATTGTGAATTGAATCGGTATATGTATTTCTGAATAATATAAATGTCGAGAGTAAATCTAGATTTACCAATCGAAAACGCTATGTGATGAGATATATATAGCCTCGGTTCTCCTAACCAAATTTAAACCAACATATTGTTTTTTCTTCCACTTTCAATTTTATAATTTGCACTGAAAACAACAACAATTTTGATCATGACAAGCCCATGATACTTTATATAACATCACCCCAATAGATAATGTAAAAGTTTGCAAACTAACTTTAGTAAAATTTTATAGCTAAAGGTTGTAGTGTAAAAATGGTATCTTATCATAGCACCTTCTAAGTTAATGTTGTTTTTAATGAAATTTGTGCGTTGGCAACCCTAATTCACAAATTGACAATTTTGTAAATGTCAAACTCTCCGTATTTTTCATATTAATATTGAAGCTGAACTGAGTGTGGACGTGTGTTAGTCGTGCTTTTGAAATTTTTATTTATTGTGTAGTGATTAAAAAAAATTATTAAACTGCTATTCTTTAAAAATAAAAGGATACTTTTATATATCTGAATATCCCCGTAATAATTTATTAATATAAAATAAAAATTCGCACTACACGTAAGACCCATACGTTTCCGCTGCTCGCGTCTTGTTAAATTATTTAGATCGGCCAGCTCGACGTCTTTATATATGTGAAATTTCGTAAAATTTTTGCGCTTTGGGAACATAGTGTTATTGTTGTTGCAGCCGTCGTGAACGTGTTCGGCTTTTATTGCTTTGTGGTGATTTTTTACTCATTGTAGTGTGTCGTCTGCTACTTTAGGTGCAGCATAACGGCCTTTAAACTGGCGGAAAAGAAGGCGCAGATGGCTTTATGCCAAACTTCAGTTGTAAGTACCGTTAAATAATAATTGTTTTCGATTAATGCTAACATATGCTTAATTTACTACTAAACATTTATTTTAAAGCATATCAAGTTTGCAATTATCTACAATATAAATAAAAATATGCAATATTAATTAATTTTTATTTACCGGCATAAATTTTTAAGTGCATTACTGTTATACTTTTCTTAAATCAAAAAATCGAATTTTAACGTTAACAGGTTGTTATTTTTTTTATGAATGAATTATTTATTAGCCTTAGCAACCAACAGCATCACATACATATGTGAGCAATATACATCCAAAATAATACTTACGAAGATAAAAATAGTTAAAGTATAAAAACAAATATCTAAGTAACTTCTTTCCTACGTATTTATTGTTAAAATGAATTTTTTCTCATAAATATATTCGTATTTAACCATTTTTTTTGTCAGAAACACGTGTTATCCTGTGGGTTTTTTTACTCAATACGTGGAACTAATTAGGTCAACATACACCCCCTCTAATACGTTCAACAAGCCGGCAGGTCGTATGGGGTGCATTTCAAAATATATAATATATGTATATACATATGTACATATGATTGTAAAACTTTTGTATTTTACGCTATTTTTGATGCACATAGGGATCTATAAATAAATAAAATTTAATCATTTTTTAGTGAATATCTACTGAGTGAAATGTTAAATATTTTTAAAGTAGTTCACTGGTTCAAACCTTTCCATATGTTTATTTATTGGGAAATGTATATAAATCCAATTATAATTTGATTACTTCTAAAAGTGACTAATTAATGTCGTTGTCGTTGTCGTTTTCGATTGTCAAATCTAGAGTAACTTTTTCACTCAATATTTGCTTTTAGTGCAGTTTTAATTTTCGATTCGTAAATCTCAGGTATAATGTATAACAGTCGAGATTAATTTAAAACACTCTAGATATTTTGTTCGATAAAAAAAATTACCCTGAAATTAACAGCTCGTAAGACAATTGAAATCAATTAAATATATGAAATATGTTTACTTCCAAATTAAAAGTTAAAAATTAAGTCTAAATAATATAAAAAAAAAACTAAAAATGAATAAAATAAGCGATATTAACTTGTCAATTTATGTGTAGCCCTTTAATAATTATGGGATTATCCTTAACATCTTTGATTGGATAAGAAAATCCGGGGAAAAATGCAGAAATCATCGAAAGCCACCGTGTTAGACTTGAACCCACTAAACGACCTCTTAGAAATGAATAGAGAAGATTTCCACAGGAATGAGGACACTTCATTCCAGTAGACGAGGGAGAGTGAATAGACTTAATACCTAGCAAGCAAGATTTAATATCTAGATGCAAATAAGTCACAAAGCGTTGGCATGAAATAGGGTGATTGGGAGTTAGTGACGGGGGGTGGGGGCAAATCTAGATTTACCAATCTAAAACGACATAAGCAATGATACCTACAAACTATCTGAGAATTATTATATTATCAGTCAATTTTAAAACTAACTAGTAAGCCATATAACAAACGAAAAATGCAAACTATACGATTACTTTGAACTATAAGAATCGTGTTTTTTTAGTATTTGAAATATTTGTTACAAAACTGATATACAAATATTAAAACAAAAAAACTATATGTAGTAAATGTGAAGATGAGGCCTTAATAATTTTGTTATGTTAAAATTTAACTCTGTATATATTGTTTTTGTGAACGCAATTATAACCTTATTGTGTTGTTACCTCTACTCCATTTTCACGCCCTTCACCATAGTTCGTATAAAGGTAAGACCCACTTTCTGTATTTATATATTTGAGCATTTACAGTTCTTGATATGCCCTCTAAGCATCTTGTGATCTATAATCAAAGATTGGTTATAGACGTTCAATACCAAAAATAATTTATTTTATATATATTTCTTTTTGTTTAAGTTTATTTTTTGACTTAATAGCCGTTATAGTATTATTAAGTATTGTTAACTGCAGTCGTTTAAATATAAGATCTGACAATTCTTATAATTAATATAAGATATAATTCTTATATGTTCGATATAGTTCTTATATGTTCGATATAGGTCTCCTGTTCCTTGATCAACTTTTTTTGTAGAACAAAATACTATTACATATTAGTAATAATAATTTTGTTTGTTGTCTTAATTGCTTGCAATTAAGGTTAGCTATACTATTTATTTTATTTCTTTCCATTTTAATTTAATTTAAATTGCTTTAAATCTATCGATTATGCCACTACCCTTAAGACTTTTTTTAGTAGAATGTAGGGCAAGCCATCATGTAGGTAGATTTTATTTACTTAAATATTAACATATTATATTAGATTACTTCAATGTAATTTAAAAGTTGAAGTAAAATTGGAATAACCACTATAGATTAAATATTAAATAATTTAGCCTTCCATGTCAAACGTAAAGTTTGTTGGGAAAATGTGGGAACGTTTGCAGATATCAAAATACCACAATACAGAATATAACTATAAAGCACTATAATTATTTTTACATTACATTTAAAAGCGTTTTACGCAATTAATGCTACTAATTAATATTAATATTATAAATATACGTTTTTAAAAATTTATATAAGCTTTTTATTTAGCTCGATTCCAAAGTTGATTTTTTTTAATTTATGTAAATAAGCTTAAAACACAATTTTACATATTTTTTTTGTTATTTTATAACTACAATATTTTTTGACTCTTGTTTTAAACAATAAATTTGATAGCTTAATTTATTACATCATTTTTTAAAAAAAATAAAAAGATTTGCTATAATTCTTGAGATTTCCATTAAGTCAAAAATTAAATATATATTAAAATATTACAATAGTTTATGTCAGTAAATATTTTTCAATATATTTACGTAATATAATGAAGATTTGTTACACTTCATAAATCATATTTTACATCTACAAGTTATGGAATAAATTAAAAGAAACTAACTGATATATTGTCATATCAGTTTCTGATTTTTCTTGGAGTTTTGGATTAAAATTTAGTTTTTATTATTATATCCAAACACATTGCAAAAATGCACATATATTTTCGTATTATATATAAAGTTATATATATATAGTTAGTAGCTTGAGCCTAATGTTTTATTAATAAACTTTTTTCCCTTTATTTTAATAAAGTTGGTACTATTAAAATATTGTTAAATATTGAATATAAACTATTATTATATCAGTACCCTGAAGACAACAATGTAGTGTATTATTTATATTATTTAACATTGACCTATTAGCCCATAAAAATATATAAATTATTATTTTTATATTATAAATTTAATTATTTTTTTTAATATTTGTTGTTTACTGTTTTTATTATTATTATTTTTTTATTATTATTAATTTTTTATTATTATTTTTTATTATTATTATTTTTTATTATTATTAATTTTTTATTATTATTATTTTTTTATTATTATTATTTTTTTATTATTATATCTTTATTATTATTATTTTTTTATTATTATTATTTTTTTATTATTATTATTTTTTTATTATTATTATTTTTTTATTATTATTATTTTTTATTGTTATTTTTTTGTTATTATTTTTTTATTATTATATTTTTATTATTATCATTTTTTTATTTTTATTATTTTTTTATTATTATTATTTTTTTATTATTATTATTTTTTTATTATTACTATTTTTTATTATTATTTTCTTTTACTATTATTTTTTTTTTTATTGTTTTTTTTATTTACAATATATTTCACTCATAAAATCACAAGGCACTTTCCGATGTTATCATGTTAATCGATTACCGAACTCATTACTCGAGAAATACTCAGACATACTCTTATTAGTTTTGTAGCAAATGTTGCAAATATATTCATATTTTTGATTAACGGATGACATGAATTAAATAAATATGTATTGAAAGCTAAAAATATGAGATAGTAAAAGATAATAGATATAAATATTACATTTTATGTATATATAGTCTTTCATTTACAGTAAAATATCGCATTCTTTTTCATTAACTACCGATTAAAATATACTGGGAATTTTAATAATATAGTTTCAAGATTAATTAAAAACTTAGAAGACAGTTTTATAATTCCCAGATCTGGCCTAAATGGTGTATTTGTTGAAGAAACTTTTTCTGTATGGTTTTAGTCGAACACTTCTAACCACATCAACAACAGTTCGATTTGCACTTTCCAGAATTCCGTTTTGAGCCTACATATATAAAGGCCCTATACAGAGGTCTTTTTTTTTGACAAAAGTGCAGTTGTTCAGTGTAATGCTAGTTCTATCGTACTAGAACTGGTGTCATTTTGAGATTCTAGAATTGAATTATTTATTTTTAGCCAAGCTACGAAAATAAGTCTAATAGTACACAAGAAGAAAAAATATATTAAATAAAAAAAAATTACATAAATATATTAAAAACTGGTATTACAATTTGAATAGGAACCCTATTTAAATTAGGTTTGATTTTAAAGGCATGTTGGTGGAAACATCGATACTTACTCCGACATAATTGACACCCATGACTAAGGTTTCGGATTAACTGTTATAAAGCGGTACTAGAGACTACCACGTACAACATTTATATCAGGGTGAGTGCTTGGGATTAATCTCAATGGCGAGCCCGTCTAGTAAAATATACAGTTGCCTAGGAGCATATTTACAAATGATCGAATTCATTAACGCGTATATTTAATAATTAATAAACACACATATATTAAATTTTTAATACGACTGTATTAAAATATTGTATAATTTAAATCTTTGATTTAATAACTTTTGCAATTTTAATTTTTTTAAAAGGATTTATTTATTTCAATTTAATGCAACCGAATGTTTGTTAATATTCAACATTTTTGGTTTAATTATGTAAAAAATGTGAGAAGACATTTTCAGACCTAAAATAGAAAATTCATATCAGTTGATTTTGTTTTTATTTCTTTTGTGTTTAAAACAATTAATTTCTTTTGCATTTAGTAAGATACAAAAACAAAAAAATTATAATAATATTTTCATTTAATTTT